TGAAAAACGCGATTTGGCTTTACTGGGCACAGACAAATTTCTGCTCCAAAAATAATTCTTTTATTTATAAAGTCAGTATAAAAATGCCAGTTGAGTTCTTTTGCAATGCTTATATCCAGCAGACAAGTTAACGGAAATCCCAATCCAGAAACACGAGACACAGTTAAGGCAGAGAAGTGCATTCACTGGGCATGTGTTTTTATATACTATAGGCAAAGACATACATACAAAAAAAAAAATTAGTTTGCCTTGGTGATACTTTTAAAGATATACGTCTATTAGATTTCAGATCACATTAATAGAGTCTCTTTGAATTTGCAAGAATTACACTGAAATAGATTTTGTTTACTTACACCCTCTTTAGCAGCTGAGGCAATCTTGCTAGCTCCAGTTGTAAAACTGCTCCATCCCTTTAAAAGAAAGTGAAAATGCAGTACTCAATATTGACTGTTTACAATTATTATTCATAACGTTCACGAATGCATGGTAAATTAAGTAAAAACGTTCTGCAGTACAACTTGTCCTGTAGTCATGAGAACTACCCACTGGTGAGAGTAAGAACCATTAGTCTCTCATTGAACTGCAATATTACAATGAACTTCCATTATTTACTTGCATACACACAAGCAATGAAACACTCCACATATCTATCCATTCCACCTAGAGGGAAAAATGTTTTTCCTTCATCTTAAAACAAAAAAAAAAAAACACTAGCAAAATATACTTTATAAAGTCTCTTCATTACTAGTCTCTCCTCAGCTTGTCATGATAATTACGTCACCAGTGTGCAAATGGCAGAGTGATACTTCTTGTAGTTTTTTTGGTGAGTGCAGTCTGAAGATACTCAAAACAAACCTAAATTGAAATTATCTGTTCTTTACAAAATCATTTGGATAGACTAGTCAGTGAGACTTCTATAGAAAATGTTCCTTCTGATATGCAGTAGCAGAAAATAAATGTGCATATGTATATATAGCATATGTGGGAAAAATGATCATACACAGTAGAAGGAAAATTGTTTTCCTCACCAGGATGAATTATGTATGCAGATAAATTTCACCATAATAATGTCTTAAAATTACACTGTAGTATGTATCTGTGGTCACAAGAGGGCATTTTAATCATGTTTCAGTGAGACTGTATATTCAAATAATGGTTGACAGTAACTTAGACAATAGTGTCCTCTCTCCTTTGCTGTCTTAGTACATTCACAGTAGGTTATGGATGTATTTTCTAACCTTAATTCTGTGGCCCACAATCGATGAAAAACCTAGAAAAGATCCAGCAAAGCTATACAGGCTAAGCATTTTGTAGGACCATTTGGAATAGTATTCCATGGCTCAGCATTCCTTTTTTCTATTATGTTCTAGTGAAATTATTACGTAAAAACACAACATGGAGTTTGGTGTGGATATTCAGATTTTATTCTACCACACCATAACTGAAGCAAGTATTTAAAAATTGTGTCAGTGATAAAATAATAATAATAAAAAAAACCCCAGTATTTCTCACATGCCTCCCTGATCTGTTGGAATACAGTATTGCAAAGGGCTCCATGGGTAAAATAAACGAGTCCTTTCCTTGATACTACAAGCATTTTTAAACCCTTTCTTTAATTTTACCAGATACATTTGGAAAACATTTACATTTTTTTGGTCACCACTGATCCCTCCCAAAAGTCTGTTCCAAAGCCTAATTTCTCTAAAGATTAGTAAACATCCATAACAACTTCCATGGACAGTAAGAAAGAGACTGCTTTCTATATCCAAATCATATGCTCAGACTCTTCAGAAGACTCCTGACACTAAACCAGTAGAAATCCTCTATATTTCAAAGTGACTCTGAATCCCAAATGTTGTCTGTCCTATTACTTTGCAGCATATCACAGCACCAATATGCACCTGAGTAGCTCTGACTTTTTTCCCATTTTCCTTAAACAATGCATTTTTTAGTACCTCTACTTCAATCGTGACAACTGTTCAGCCATACGCCGATATCTCCTCGTGTCCTACCACAAGTACTTAGAATACTTTCATCACTGCCCAGTACTTCTGGCACCCATATACGCACACATTTCAGTTGTTTTCTATTGAACACACCTAAGATGGTTAATCTCACAGCGTTATCAATGCAACTATTTTCATTGTGTCACTACTTTTTTTTCCTAGTCCTGTTGAGTATTAGATCTTAATTCATTGCTATATATCAGTTCATAAAAATAAGGAAATGAGGATACCAGATATCCTGCTTAAGTTTCTCTCAAACTTTTCCCTTCATTTCTTCTTCTAAAGTTCTCCAGTATTTTTCCTCACTCTTTGAGAATACCACTATTACTCTACATTCACTCTGTACCTGCTTGCAGTCTACAGCTTGTATTCTCCATTTATATTCCCATAAAATGGTGCTTCAGTTCACAGAAAGCTTAGAATAGTTCCTTACCGAGTACAGTGAAGACATAGCATTATTCAGGAAGTCATCTTCCTTTTTTGGAGGGGTTACTGTGTTCCCAAAACCCACGTAGCGATTCTCTTGGCTACTACCATAAGAAAACGAATAAATAGCATCTTTATTAGTATGCATTCATTAAAACTAATAATACCAAGCATGAAAGAATGACAACCGTTTAATAGCCTTTAAAATACACTCAGAAGAAAAAGTCTGGCAGTGCTGATATCTGCATGTGCAAATTCCAAAAATACCTAGCATTCAAAATATAAAACCATCTGTATCATAAAAATATACCACCACCAAGGGTCACCAGTGAACCCTTGCAAATGAAAGCGTCCCCTATGCAAATTAAAATCTCTAGTAGTTTGAGAGATCACTCAGATCAGAAATCTGAAGTAAATCTTATATGAAAACGTGAGTAGGAGAGGCACAGAAGAAATTAGCGTTAGCATTACAAATATCCCAGTTCAACCCATTACACTATATACACTAAAAACTTCCTAGTTTGGAGCTCACCACAGCAACATTTTGATTTACAAGCCCTTTTTTCAGCACTATTCAAACATTTCCTTGTTACACAAAGGCATTAAAAGGCACCTTCCTTCATCTTCTCCCTTATCACATATTATCAATTTTTTTTTCAACAGTAAATGAGATATAACTGTTTACCTAGGCTGAGTGAATCAAAATCACCACCATGTAGCTGTAGCGTAGACCAGGAGGTTATGCCTGAGCCGGAGGACAAGGCACACAAAAAGTTAAGTTAATAAATACTGCATTACCCTTGATAGGAGTTGACATCATCATTTAACCAGTCTTCAAAAGCCTTGTCAGATGAGGCAGTTGCATTCTGAGATTGTCCAGCAGAACTACTGAAATGAAAGATTTAAAACACTCAAACTATGTAAAGCAAAAACCACTAGGTCCGCACTGCAGCTTGCCATGTATCATCACAAAAGCAGGTGCAAAACTGATTATTTCTTTGGTCTATCACGTAGGGAACTTTAATGTAACCACTAAAAGCCACTAGAGTATTGAATGAATAAAGCAACAGTAGACCCAGACAGACAGTGTTACTCAGGCTACAGTAAGCCCACTGAACTTGCTGGATGATGGCCAGGCACAAAGCACTCGTTCATCTGATTTATGATTGCTTTTTCAGTTAGCTTGATTCTTTATTGCAAAGAATAAAAAACAAGCATGCAAAAGGAGAAAAAACAAGACTGCTTCATTCTAGCCTTGATGCCCCACTAGCAATTAAATCCATACAGAAAAGAATGTCACTTCTTTGGTAATCAATCATAAACTGGAACAGCATTGTATTTAAGGCATGTCTGTGACACGCTAAGCACGACTGACACAATGACTAATCTCAGGTGCGTTACAAGGCAAGAAGTCAAAAAAAAGCTTGGGCTTGCCCTCTGCTCCGGCTCACTTGTCTCTGCCACAGTTTTTAAGATTCAGGAAAGGCCAGGGAAGGGGGATGGACTGATTATAGAAATTAAAGCTCTGCTACCTCAGAGTCCTTAAATTCACCAGAAAAAAAAAAAGCTTGCTAAAACAACACTATCAACAAAATAAAACCAACAGACATTCCAGCATCAGGGTTTGATACTGCTATGGCTATATTAACATTAGATAACAGGAAGACATACCGATGAGCTGAAGAGAAAGACATTTTCGGCTGTGGCGGGGTCCAGTTCTTTGCAGGAGAAGTTTCAAGGGACCACTCCTTGCCTTCAGCTACAGTAGCTACCTAAACGTGGTAGGAAAAAGAGCAGAATGTCAGGGGGTCCAGATTTTCACACAAATTATAAACTAAACCTGTAAAACAAGTTGATTTTCCAATTCACCGCCAGTTACAAAGTTCAATTCATTTGTTTTCAAAGGAAACTGAAATTTTGTTGAATCCGAGGCTAATAATGTTGAATTGAATACTGTTTTTATTTCAGGTGGTTGTAAGCAACTTTTTTAAAAAGGCAAGTTAGGTTTGAAGAAGAAAGGCTGGATTAACAACGGGATATAGGCACTCATCACAGAATAATGGAGAGACGGAGGTGGCTGTATCCTATCATGCCCAGGCAAAAGCATATAACCACACTAAAACATTCTCTCTGCCTCCTTCAAAGAAAGGACTTAAACGTGATCTCTCCAAAGGCTTTACTACAAAAAACTCCATAGTTCACCATTTTTAATACTAAAAAGGCCTACGCAGTACAGAACTTAAGAATTCTTTGCTTTCACCAAGACACTCTGCTTTCAACAAGCAGTCTCTGGTACCTAGCAACTTCTAAAGCAGCAAAGAGACAACACAGACGACAAACCAAAGCTATGCGAGTACTCTATTGAGCACAGAGTACAACTTCTTAACGCTTCAATGGTACGGTCAGCATAAAAATACAATATCTTTGTACAGTCTCCAAGCTCCTAAGTTCGAATACTTTGACATTCAATTTTTTCAAATTCCTAACCTCCTTGAAATGATAATGCCATTACGTAATTAATTTACTGTTTAGAGACCCGCCTGTATGTGGCAAATTAATTTACCGTTTTGTTACCAGATACAAATTTATCAGCAACCATTTTGGATAAGACTGTACTGCTGAAATAGTAAACTGTTGATTGTAAATTAAGACAGCTCCACTGTCTAACTAGTCACAGCAAATTACAGCAACAAGAAACTAAGTCACCTCAGCCAAAGGCTGAAAAGAAAGTTTCTAAAGGAAAAAAAAAACTCAAGAGTTGAGTTGAGAAAAAAAAAAACTCAAGAGTTGAGAAGAGTAGCTCTGAGACTTACCCCTACCAAGAATCATTGCAAAGGTTCAAAAGGTTGTTACTTTTTTTTTTCCTTCTTCTTTTTTAAGCACTTAATGAAGTACCTGGACAATTTCAGATAGAAGGGGATGAGGATGCACGTAGCTATACAACTAGATTTACCTGATCTCTAAAAAGAGCTGCAGCTTTGCTGTTGTATTTCTCTTGCATTGACCAGCAGGGATCGTAGTCATCTTGAGACTCCAAGAACTCTCGAAATTTACTGTTACCTCCAGCCTTCATTTTCTCCAGCTCAATATCCTTCCATTTGTCCATAGTTACAGAGCGTACGAAACTGAAAATTAGTTAAAAAAATCCACAGCTTGTTAAGCTATATCCCGCTAAAACAGTAGGAACTGATATTATTGCAACTCATCTCAAAGACTGAAGGTATGTAAATGTTAGAATCACTCTCAAAGTATAGAAAGAAAGAGCCTCATAACAAGAAGGTCAAATCCTCACTGAAACAAGCTAAAATCATGCCTACACAGGCAATTAAAGAAGATGGCCTACAAAGACAACTGACAAAAAAGCTGCTTTCTTCTACAAGCCTGGAAATTGACCTAACCCATCATACAAAAGAAAGCTTTCCCAACCTTTTTTATTCTGTAGTTTTCTCATGTCCTTTATTTTGCACAGTTACACTTAGGGGATCACCAAGGATACCTCCCCTTTCATGTCCTTTCCCTTCCCTCACTCCATGCTTCTGCTCAGAATGACCACCAGGTACTTGATAACTCAACTGTCTTAAGTAGGTACACTGCAGCATCTGTTATGACCTCATTCGAGGGCCTTTATAACTGCAGTTAACATCTCAGCTCTGTTTTGGGCTATAAATTCTTGTTACTGCTCATTAAACTACATTTAAAAAAAAAAAAAAGGGAGGGGGGCCCTGTTGTTAATGTTTCAATACAAGGTCATAGAAGAAAAATAAATGAGACATCATCCTCATCAAGGCTCTATAAAACTTGTATCTTGACTGATTTCTGTCTTTCGGTCCCTAAATAATCACCCTTCATCACATCTTCTTTTGTTTCACTACTTTGCATTTTCTTTCATATAACACATGGAATAGCTCCAAACTCATTTCTTAGGCAATTTCAACTCACTAAGAAACTTCAAATCACCTTTTAAAAAGCAAAGCACATACTTCTGAATGGCCTCCTTGCTTTGGTGATCTCCCTTCTGGACTTTCTTTCCCTTTCTCATTTGAGTAACTGTCCCACGTTCTGCCCCTATTATAGACCGTGGAGTCTCTGGAACACATAATAGTTCTTATTCCATAATTTCCTGGCTCATTTGAGTATTTTTCTTGGAATAAACAGGAGCTATCATTTATATTACCAAAAAAATCTCTGGAACGGAATAAAACTGTTTTATACACGTGCACACACTACAGAAATATATTGCAATCATACTATGACTGTTTTTGCTCAAATCTTAGATTGCTCTAGTACTACTAGTTTTTCTCAATAAGATTATACAAGGTTCTTTTAAAAAAAAAAGGGGGGGGGAAGGTAAAAAAGTACACAAATGAAGGAGGACTAAACTAATGCTATGTTTTCCGGATTCTGCAGTACAACCCGCAGTATGAAGATAGAGGTGTTACTTTCTGGAACTACTTTCTGGAGCTATACCAATGCAGCACATGCCCAAATTAATCACAGAAAGGACACAGAGAGCAAAGCACACTTTGGAGAGGAGCATGAAGCAAAACTGCCTGTGAAATACTGGAACTGGGACACTCAATGCCTTTCCAAAACAATACATTCTGTTCACAGCCACAATACATCCCAAGGTAACCCAGTTCAGTGTTTGCCTGAAAGGCTGACCTGAGGTGAACTCCCAAGCCTCGGTGTTTTCCTGAGCATTCAAGACAGATCCAAATTCCATAGGTCACACTCACCCACTGGGGGTTAAATGCACCACATTCAAAACAGACCTGTGAGAGAGAAACAATTATCTCTAACACTCGATCATCGCTTATCTATGTGAAGCTTTCAACGCACAACTCAAAAAGTCAAATCATCAAGATGTTACATACAGAAAATAAATCCAGAATGGAGAATTTTTAGAATTCTCACTATTCAAAAACATCTTCCCTGAGAGCTGAAGCTTCCTTTAAATATTTTTTTTTTTATAGTTCATGGAAAGAAATGCTCATTAACCTGCCTGACTCATATTACAAAATTGTTGTCTGAACCAGGCACCAAAAACCAGTAAGAAAACACAGACAAGCAAATTGAAATGAATCAGCAAAGAAGTCATCTTGATTTCATTTTCACATTGTTTTTAAGGAGGAAAAAATAACCCAATAGACTTCTTAAAGCCTCCTTTGCAAAATAAAGACACAACATCTAACTTTGAAACATGCACTCAGTCATACTATGGTTTGACAGTAAACTCCACAGATGACAGCAAATCTAAAGGGAGCTTTTCTTAAAAATCTTTACTACTGATACAACACACAAAATCTTACATTCTTATGATTGCAATCACCATTCAGGGTTTAATATTACATCCTGTAGGTGTAACTCCCCATAGAGACAATTTCAAACAGGGTTATAAAAAATTTCTGTGGGTACCCACAGCGATCAATGCATGAATATAAATTAAAATGAACTTGTCCGTGGACTATCACATTTAAGGTGGAGTATAAACAAGCTTCTTTAAATAGACCATTTTATACTAAGCTATGCCCAAGACATCACTTAACAGTTTGACAAACTGTTAAGGCTTATAGCATTACTAGACTCTCTGGAAGACCTGCGCCAAATATGCAACCATGCATCATAATACAAATATGAATTAAAGTTACTAAAACTAACACAAATGCGAGATATCCAAATGTATGCGTTACCATTAGTTAGCCACACCAGTGCTATAAACAGATTAGCTCTAGTGGGCAGCAACGTATGTCTGGAGTAGACAAAACTGAAATTCAATGCTATAAAACTAATCCAAACAAGAGCATATGTAAATATCTCACATTGTTCTCATCTTGTGCTCTGACTTCCTTAAGAACTTTCCTTGTCCTTGGACTTGCCATGGTTCTACAAAGGGAGGAAAAAGAAAAACACAAAACTAAATCATTTTATAGGATTTGATAGAGATAAGATGTTCAGTACGATATAGGGATGATACCGATAGAAAAGCATTTACAATCTAAACCACTGAATCACAATCAACTGCAAGAAAAACCATCACCACAATTTTATTTTTCCATTTGCTTTGTACATTTTGACATGTAGTCATCCTACCTCACGCACTGACAAGGTTTAATTAAGTCATACGTGAAAAAGCAGAGGGAAGCTAAATACGGAGATTCTGCTGCGGTGTTTGAGGTATCAGGACCGACATTTACTGATGCTGCTTTCCGACCCATCCACTACCTTTGCTGGAACAGACTGATAACCCTTTGCGATTCCACGGATCATAGGCATAGAACTGAATAGACCTAACCAACGAATAGCAGAGACTCTTACACTTAGAGTACCGAACAGACTGCTAAAAGTGCACTTTATTAGAAGATTTAAAAAAAATTGTTTTTGCAGAAGTGTTGAGTCTCCTTATCCATTACATTCCAAGAAAACAGCACATTTATCGGGACCTATTACATAAAATAGAATTGAAATTCTGACAAAGTCATGTCTGGTTGGCGGATCATATCACCTTATTCTCATTTTTATGAGGCATGAAACATAGCAGCAGAGAGAAATTTCAAGCTACAGATAAAAGTCACATTAAGAAAACAATGTGATTCACTCAGTACATATCCTGGAAAAACTGAAGGATATAAAACATTCATGGTCAAAAGAAATACAGCATTTAGCATGCAGTACAAGACTGCAGGTTAGATAAAAAACAATGAATTCAAGTTTTCAGCTAATTTGGTTGCACAGTGCTTAAATAAGCTTTAAATATCATCATTTTTTTCTCTTTTATTTACAGGCAACCCTTTGACTTCTACTCCAGAAAAGGAGCTTCTAAGATGCAGTAAAAAACAGAGAAGTCGCCAGGCTGACTAGAAATAGTACAGACTAAATGTAGCCTTCATAAAACTGAAGAAAGAAACACTTTAAATTTTATGAAAGTCTTTGACAATTATTCACTTTGCTGTTTGAGTAAACAGTTTTAAGTCCTTAAATTATCAACAGCATTAACGATCATGCAATACTTCTAGAAGGTAAAGGATTAGGTATTACATATAATTACCATCATCTGTTAGAAGATACCAGGAGAACATATCTTTCAACAGAAAAGGAAGACTATTTTAAAAAGAAAAATTCTACAGGTAGGAAAATTCCAACTCTAAATTTGTACAAAATTGACAATATCTATTTATTAGACATCTCTAACCCAAAACACAGCCTTCCTATGAACTACAACCACAGCACACAGTGTTACAATGAAACAGTGCAAACAGTATTATACGGATCACCAGCTAAGCCAACATCATTCAGAAAGAAATAAGCTCAAAATTGCAGTTAAATATTATTGCTGTTGAAAAAAAGAATTTTTGGTGGCAGAAATCACTGCCTTTTATCTAAAGCATACACTCCTTCACTGACAAGCATTTAATTCTGTGTAGTTTAAGGGACAATGTTTTATTGTTAAACTTATCATTAAAGTTTAGGATACGCCACCCTTTAATCGGAATTAATTTGTGTTTTAAAAAACAGATTATCTGTGAAAAAGTATGTGTTTTAAACTGAAAATATTACTAGGTTATGCTATAACTAATGCTTAATAAACAAAATTTTCTAGTCATCCTGCATCAAATTAAAACTGAATGGGATTATTTTTATCAGTAGTCAGATGGAAATTGTGTAACTTTCATAAAAGTAAAAAAAAGCATGGCAAGTAACCCCTTGTTTAACGAAATACACTTTTTCCAAAAACAGTGTTTAATTGTATATGGCTTACCCATATGCATGTGAGGAGGGAGATATCACTACATATAAAACGTGCTCGTTTGTATTCTAAACAGAAACCGTAACACACACTTGCTCAAATCAAAGTCCAGGCCTTCGATTCTACTTTTTGTCACTAGTAGGAAAAGGGAAAAATCTCCCTCTTCACTTTGAATAGAAATTAAGTAAATAACTTGACAACTTAACCAGTTGGTAGAGAATTAAATATACTTTGGGCCTTCCTCTTTGCCAGTTTGGTTCGCGTCTCTTTGTCTGCTAATTCGCCTTCCGCAAGGTTGTATTTTGATAACGACTTACAACGCTTGACGTATGCCACAGGGTCCCTCTCTTTGGCTGGCCATTTGTTCTCCTTATTGCTCTTCTTTTTTTAAAGCACTATTACAATTTTTTCCTCCATTTCCTCAGGTTGTTAAAGCAGCTTTTCATTTGGAGTAATGAATAAGAGACTGACTACACTGTAAAGCCTTGCAGGCTCAATGGCAAACGATCATTACTAGAGCTGAACAGGAAAACATATTTCCCATTCCCATTCAGCATGGGCCAGGAATTTTCAGTATTCTGTAGGGTAGAAAGAGACACCCATCCTACAACAGCCAATACTCAGACCATTTGTGTATTTACAAAGAGAGAGAATCTTTAACTCAAAGCTGACAGAACAGGCAATTGCCTTTGAATTTTCCTTAACCATTATTAATTTTCCTGCCATCAGCAGCCACAGCTATCACCTGCTCAGAGCTACGTATTCTTCCTCAGTAAGAAAGTCTGTTCATGACTGTGGTTATCTTTCTACCAGAAGAGAGCTGAAAAGCTTCCAATAATAAGTTTCATGTTAACAAATCGGCTTTTTCATATGAAAAGCTTTCATCAAAAGACCTTTGGCCAACTATAATGTGAACATATGCCCTATTCCAGAAGCACCAACCTCCCTAACCAAACCTCCTACTGTTTCTGATGAGAAGGCAGAGCTTCAGTCACAGCGCTTCATCCAAGAAAAGGAGCAGGAAACCAAGCCCACCAGCTTCCCACCTTTCTCTCTGCTCCTCCACCATCCTCCCTGTGACAAATCATTTGGAAATGAAGGCGGGGGGCAGGGGCAAGCTCTAAGCACTGTAACAGCAGGTAAGGCATTCTGACTTGTCTAGCAATAGGCCAAGGTGCCTAGTCTATTTTTAACTAGGTTTGGCCACAAAATCATAAGTGATTAAGTCATCATGGTTTACCATCCATCAGCTGAGCTGTGGTAGCTAACTGGGCACAGAACCCCTGCTGCATCTTAGATCACAGGTAGAGAAGACTGAAAACAACTGTGTGTGGACACCTTAAATTGTTGTTTTGATCCAATGTAAGTGGACAGGAGCAGTAAAGAGAATGCACAGTTTGGGAATAAGTTTTCTCCGAGGAACACAGATGCTCCGGGATAAGGGTTCCAAGTACGTTCAGACAGATCAGGACCGTAAACTTTCATCTCCCAACCAAACAATCTGCTCGCAGAGTAAAAATTACATGTGCGCTATATGAATATCTGCATTCAGAATCTTTAGCTTGCTAAAAGTAAGTAAATACGGCAAATACGGCACTACATACTTTAAGTTTAAATGAGCTCTAAAGGGACTTTCATCCTCTGATGTAACAGCAAATTCACACAGCTGACTTGTAAAGAGTTTTGCAGTTCAATCTATGCAGATTAACCATGCAAAATGATCAGCATGATTTCATGTGCCTGCTGTATCCCTGAGTCTCACCAACGCAAAAAGGCTTTTTTTCGGCCTTTTCTCTGAAGAAAAGTTTTGAGCAAAACACTGCCATCCATCTGCACGGAGCAGGCACGGTTCACTTGGAAACATAGTTCAGCTTTTTTTACGAACGCAGCATTCAATCTGCTTTTAGCCATCCGATGCCTTTCCATGCTAAGGAGCACTGCCAGCTTACCAAAAACTTCACGAAGGACGAGAGGTTGACGATTTTCTTCCAGAAAACCCCTGAGCTAAGGCACCCAGCTCTGAGATTGGTCCTGGAGAAGGGTTTCAGAACATGGCCAGGTTCACAGGGAACACATCAGCTTCTCCTTCCCAGGAGAGAAGGGGGGGGGGG